CCCCTACCCCACGCAGGGCGGGGTTTGGGGAAGGGGGTGCACAAGCACCCCAGAACCGCTAAACCAGCCGGCGTGCCACTGTGGTGCATCACCCGAGAAAAGGCATGGGGACAGAGAGGCCCTGCGCCAAAGGGAGGGAAACGTGTGTTTTGGGGAAGCGTGTTCAATTTTATTCGATCCCTGCAGCACCAGACCCGCTGACACGCAGCGATGGGGAGACCCAGGAAGGAGCCCGCCGGCACATCATCCCCTCGGCCAGCCACAGCCGCTTCCAAAACCGCCCCTGCTGCGCCACCGCCTTCCACCTCGGCCACCCAGGCCAGGGCTGCGGCTGCGGGAAGCCGATCCAGGGGCGCTCCGGCTGCCGGGGCTGCTGGCCCCAGCCGGGGGCAGGGGGTAAAGCCAAGGTCCTCTCAGCCAAGACCCACAACATCCCACGGAGCCCGAGGAGATGCCGGGGACCAGCACAGAGCATCCACCGGGAGTTGCTCTGCAACCCAGAAGAAGTCACCTGATGCCAAAGGAGCTGCTGGTCCAGCCAGAGCTGACCCACGTCCGCAGAAGAAGCAGCCTGGGGCTGATCCAAGCAGGGCCTCGAGTGGGTTCCTGCCCCCCCTGGACAACGAGGACATCCCCTGGGTGGAGAAGGAGACCCGGGGCCAGTGGAGCAACCCCAAATGGTATGAGTGGCGGGAGAACCGCATCACGGCCTCCGTGGCCCCCCGGATCGCCAACAGCAAGTTTGCCAACGGCAAGACATCTGAGGTGCCCCAGTCCTATCTGAAAGCGGTGGTGAACTCTGGCCCCAGGGTGCAGACGCCGGCCATGTCCTGGGGGGTCCGTAACGAGAAGGCGGCCGTGCAGGCCTACGAGCAGCTGAAGTCACAGGCAGTGGGCAAGCCAGTGCGGGTGGACGACTGTGGGCTCTTCATTCACCAGGAGAAGAAGTGGATCGCCGCCAGCCCAGACGGCATCATCAAGGATGCGGCCACAGGGAAGACCCTGGGGCTGCTGGAGGTGAAGTGTCCCTACAAGCACAGGAACAGGACGGTGCGCGAGGCCTGCAAGGACAAGGACTTCTGCCTGGAGGTGGATGGTGACTCCTACGCCCTGAAGAAGGATCATTCCTACTTCACCCAGGTCCAGTGCCAGCTGGCGGCCACCGGCTTCCAGCAGGCTGACTTTGTGGTGCACACCACCAAGGAGACGGCTGTGGTCCCCGTGGAGTTCGATGCCAAGTTCTGGGGTCAGACGGTGCCCAAGCTGGAGAAGTTTTACACCGAGGCGGTGATTCCCCACCTGGAGGAGAAGGCAGGGGGCTCTGCCTGGGCCAAGGAGGAGTAGACCCTCCCTCCCTGCACCTCGGTCGCCAGGATGCTCGCTTGGCCCCACAAACCCAGCTTTGGCCCCTAGCATAGAAATTACGCCCAGTTTTGCTGCTGCTCTTGGACCGTCTGCTGCCTCTGCCCCAACGCAACTGCCTCGGGACTGAAGTGACACACCAGCAGGACCCTACTCTGGTAAGGGTCCCCTCAAACAGTGACTTCTTCCTGCCCCAGGTGCCTTTTGTCCTGTCCTCCTCACTTCATCCCTCGTTTGACCTGATGGCACTGCCCGACAGAAGCTGGCGCACCTCTGGATCTGCAGGGGAAGCCAGTGATGCCTCTGTGCTGGAACAAGACATATTTTAGGGAGAAAACTGGATCCTTTGACACCTCAACTGCTGTCAGGACTAAATCATAACTCCACTGTGGAGTGGAGACAGAGCTAGAGAAGGTTTATCAACGCTCAAGAGCAAAATACAGCTTTTGAGCTAAATCGTGATGTACCTTAAGAGTCACAGCAAGGGTGTGTGGACACCATCCCCTGCCCCTGCCAGCCATGAGACCTGTTCCTTTGGAGTAACCCATGATGCTCACGATGAGTTGGCTGCAGCCTCGGGAAGAAGGCGCCCATTGAAGAAGTTGTCCCCAAGTCCAGAGGGCTCCTGTGGAGCACCCCCGTGTGCTGCAGCGGGGTGGGGAGGTGGGCATTAATCTGTTAAATACAAGATGCGCTGGCCTGCTCGTTCCCTGTTGTTTGTGCAGCTTGGTGTTGATGTGGGGGGAGGGGGGGGGAACAGGGCTGGGTGGGATCCCCACACCAGGTCCCCTCCCAGCCACAGCAGAAGGGGAGCACTCGGGTCCCAGCGGGATGTGAGACCTGAGGCCACCAAACTATGCCAAAGCCACCACTGTTATGGCAAAAGTACTTTATTATATACATAAGACTCCAGCCACACTCCACAGGGCAAGGACCAGAATTTGCTATTTTACATATCAATACAAAGTAACTATAAAAACATAAAGCACTTTTGGGGCCCAGGCTTTCCACAGGAGGAGAGAGGCACAGGGACAAGCCTGGGGGCTGCTGAGTGACGAGGGGCTGCCCCACACCCTTCCCCCAGCTGTGGTCCCACAGTAACCAGATGTGCAAGTATAGGAAAGAACCCAGTTAAGAAATAATAGTCATTGGGACTGGCCAGTGGGGGCTGTCCCGCTCCCTGCTGTGGGCAGTAGCACGCTGGGGGCCGAGCCGAGTGTCACCAGGACGGGCGCGGGGTCTGCATCCCCCAGGGAAAGTGCAGAAGGCACATGGGCCAGGCTCTTTGGAGGGGCTTTGGAGGTGGGATCCAATGGTTAGTGCACATGGGGCCCCAGGAGATCACACACACACACACGCTATGCACAGGGGACACGGAGGGGAGAAAAGCCTTCCACTGCCAAACTTAACCAGGGGCCTGGAGAGGGCACATCCCGTGTCTCCAGAGCAGCAGTTGCATAGCAGAAGGGGCTCAGGGCCCACTCTTGACAAGTCACTAGGTTTCAACTCTTCGTGTCCAGGAAAAAGAACCCCAACTTCTGTGATGGAGGGAGTGCTGGGAAGCAACGCCCTCCCAGCTCCATCTGAGCTCAGGTCTCTGCATCCAGCTGGTGTTGAAGCAGATGCTCCACCAGACAGCCCTGCGGGCAGGAGATGGTCGCAGGGTACAAGCTTTGATTGTTTTAAACTGAAAGTGGAAAACACGGAAAGCTAACCAGAGCACTCTCCTGTTCCCCTTCCAAAGGGCTCCCAGCCCTGCCACGGCCAACTCTGAGGATAACTTCAGTCTCCTACCAGGAATCCACCCACACTTCACACAAGAGACCTCAGTGCAACTGGAGAACATGAACCAAGAAGGGCTGGTCAGCAAGAACAGCCTTGTTAATCATCTACTAGAAGATGCCTTTGCTGCTCCTGACCCAGCAGGACCACCCTGGGGCCATGGGCACAGCAAACAAAACCAGGAGAACCAGGAGCACCATGGGCCAGGGGAAGGACCTCCCCTGTGCAGCCTACAAGGCTGATGAACCAGAGATGGACGGCTCCCCCAGTGCCCCCAAGATGCAGAGCCCCACTCTGCTGCAGGCGTCAGCAGGACTGATGTCCCTTCCCTTCCCACCCTAGAGAGCAGCACATGACATGGAACTTGCTCGCCTGGGCTGCAAGTACTTGCTGGATAAGAACTTGGGTCACTGGGGCTTTGCCATCACAGCCCACCTGAAGGTCCAAGGCAAGGAAAGGAAAACAGCGAGGAAAAAGGAGGAAGGGGAGTCACATCTTGGGATAAGTGTAAGCTTCCACCACACCACAGAAAAACTACTAGGACCAGATTCTCCTCGGCTGCCCTGGGGAAAAGGCACTGAGCCAGCTTTGTGCGAGGAGAGAGATGTTTCAGAGTGACCTAGTGCACAGCTGGACCACCCTGCTCCCCCCTGCCCCCCCCCCGACCCCTCTGGGGTAACCAAGCTCTGTGGCCAACGCGACCCGCAGGGAAGACACGCGTGGCAGCTTCCAGGAGTCAGAAGTGCAAGGGGGACAGTCCAGCCCCATGGCCCAGCCCCCCTCCCGCCATTACTGTGCGTTGATTGTCTACCCAAACCGGGCTACAGTCTTCGGTTTAAAAAGGGGACCCCCGGCCTCCCTGCTCTGGAGGAGCTTCAGTCACAGAAGCGCTTGCGGGGCACCGTCCGAGCTCGGTTTGAGCGGCGAATCTCCTGCTTGGCGTCACGGCATCGCTGGCAGATGAAAACCTCAGGCACGTTGGATTTGCGGATCTTGGCACAAGAGAGGTGGATCCAGGTAGCGCATTCGTTACATTCGATCATGGGCCTCCCTGCGAAGGGCTTCAAGCAGAAGCAGGTGATCAGATCCCAGGCATCGTCGTCTGGTCAGGGAGAGACAGACACTGGTCAGAAACCACTTTACCAGTTGCCGGTCCGGCTGTGGCCGGACTAGCCAGTTCCACTGGGGGTAAATGGGAGGGGCCCCCTCCCGCCGCCCCAATCGCTGGGCGCCAGGCCTGTAGGAGGGGTTGGCCGTCCCTCCCTCCTGCTGCTCCACCTCCATCTCCACCTGAACCTGTGGGGGAAAAAAAATAAGTAACTGTGGCTTTAGGGGGGGGGAAAAGGGGAAAAAAAAAAAAAAGAAAAAGAAAAGACCAGATGAGCAAGGTGACCCTACACCCCACTTCAGACACGTTTCAGCTCTGCACTGCTCACTCTGCAGAACAGAGCTTTCACAGGGCAGGCCAGCTCCCTGCCCGCTGCTCTTCGGTCCTCCCAGGTCCCGAGGGCACTCCCCTTGCTGGGAGAGGCTTGGGCCATCGACCAGCCCTCCCTGCAACCAGCACGGATGGCTCCAGCTGAGAGAGGGACAATACTTGGCACTGGCTGCAGCACCACAGGGCCCTCTGCGCTCCCTCGGACACTCACCGCTGAGCTGGGAGCTCCCTCTGCTCGCATCATCCCCTTCGCTTTGGTCCAAGGTACTACAAGAACTGGGGCTTTTCCTCCCTCCAGAGCAGGGTTCATGCTCCTGTAGCTGAGGATCGTCTCCTGCTGGCTTCTCGGTCCCCTGCACTCCGTGCATCCAGTCCTTCTCCTCCTTCATCAGCTCCTCCAGGAGGGAGGTGGGCTGGGGGTCCCCAGCTGGGTTGAGGGAAGGCTCCAAGAGCTCCTCTTTCACGGGAGGCACCTGTCCCTCCAGCACAGCCAGCTCCTTCACCCCGTCCTGCTCTGCCCCGAAGCCCTTCCCAGCACCCAGCGGCACCCTCTTCACCTCCTGCTCCAAAATGAGTTTCTTTGCTGGTGGTTTCTTCCGTTTGGTTTGCTGGGGCCGGACATCGTAGAAGCCGGTGGGGAAAGCAGGGCAGCTCACGAGCAGGCTGTTGTCCACAGCCCCCCTGGCCACCGTGTTCCTGCTCCTCCCGTTGTCCGTCAGGACGTGGCAGTCGGAGGAGTGGGACGATGCCCAACTATCGCTGTCCTGAGTGCTCCCCGTGCTGTTCTGGGGACTCATGCTGCCTCCGTGGGACCAGAGCTCATTCTGCGAGAGGGGGGAGAACGCAGGACTAGCATGGAAAACAGCAGCGCAGACGTTCAGGGTAAGGAGGAAGGGGCTGGGGATAGAAAATGATTCTCCAGGAGAAGAATTAGGAGCTGGGTCTGCCCATGGTAGGGAGCCCAGAGGAACACCCCGCAAACCCACTTACCTCTTCAGGGTAGGGGATGTAGCCCGCGTAGGCCAAAACGAAGGTGCAGAACTGGTTGAAGTCCTCCACCGTTCTCTGTCGTTTCTGCAACGGCTGCAACAAACGCCACGTGTCGATTAAACTCCTCGGATAGCCCTACCTGAGCCAAGTACCGTAACCGGCCCCGGCCGGCAGCCCCGCACCGCCGGGCACCCCCACATCCATCCATCCATTCATCCATCCATCCATCCTTTCTTCCTTCATTCCTTCCCGACACCCACCTCCATCGTCTGGCTCGACAGATGCAGCCCTTCCCTTTAAAACC